GGCCGTGTTTCTTAGCAGTGCTGCCAATATTAATTTCTGTTGTTGTTCTTCCCAAAATAAAGTGCTAGGAATGGGAAGGAGCTGGGACAGAGAACCAAGGGAAGAGCCTTGGATAGTCACCACTGTTGCTCCTTTGTTTCCAGAAGTTGGAGAAGGTGCATAAGAGTAGTTGCTGGAGCAGAGAGCAGCCTCCTCCCTTGCAGCAGGAGGAAAACACTTCCTCTCTTCCTTCAGTAGCCATGGGAGTCAGCCAGGCTTTGCAGATCCTTGTTGCAAAAAGTGCTGCCTTTTAATGAAGGAAGGAAGAAGAGACTGGAGGAAAATTTGCTACGGGGAGTAGATGGTGAATGAAAGAGAAGCATTTACCTTCTCCAGGTGGCTTACAAATAAGAAATACAGTCATCAGCCCTCTGAGGGCTGTATCGTGAATGGAGCCTACTGAATGCAGAGCACCATGGAGCATCTGTCCACTTTATTCAGTTCCCAAATCTGAGTTCTCTCGGTATTGTGGCTTCAGTTATTGGTACTGAACAGCTTTGAAACAACAGCCCTAAAATGTTGACAGTAACACCATTTTTATTAATCAGTTGCATTTAAAAATAATAAAACCAATTGGTTTTATAAAATGCTCAGTAGAATATAAAGTGTGCTCTCAAAAGTTACACATTTTGAGACTGTTTGGCTACGTTAGAAACAAATATATTATTGACTGTTAAGAGTTCTGTTCATACTACATTAACTTTGGTTTGGTATGTTTTTGTATTAAATGAAATGGTTCACACAATGATACATTTATGAGATGAAAAAGAAATCGCTTTTTTATGATGCTGAAAGATCTGTGAGAATACAAAGAAGTTCCCTTAGTCCTTTACATTTTTCTGAATATTCTGTAGAGGGGGAGCACTTCTTGATAAGAAACACCAATGACTAGATTCTTTACATACTTTGATTTAATAACTGCAAATCTGGGCTAACATTGTACATGGATTTAAATAGGAACTCATATTTTGCATTAATTTTAAAGCACTGGCATTATTTTAATGTATATATAATTTTAATTTTAATGGCAAAGCCACTGCAACCACTGTTAACTGTATGTCATGTAAACGTTAAAGGCTTTTGTGTGTGTGTGTGTGAGAGAGAGGGGGGGATCTGAATCACTAAAAATATGGTTTGAATGTGATGTTCTGGCCATACTCCTATGTCCACATGCCCCATTAAAATAAGATCAGCCATTTTGCCCTTAGAAGACTGTTCTCACACCACAGCTATTAACTTTGTCTGTAAGGTTAATGAACCTCCTAAAAGCTGGATATCTTTGTCCATTTTCTTGGTATCCACATCTTACTCTGCTATCATCATTACTTTTCTGCTAAGTGACTGAGTAATAAGCACACACCACCTTGCAAGTGGCTCCTCTTCAAGAAGGGAAATGGAAAGGCATCCTGGTCATAACTTAGTACACATAAACTTAAACTCTTCCTACAGCAGCCCTCGACGGAGAGCTGGTTTGTGCCCAAAGAGTAGTTCTGCATCAAGACTTGCTTCTAACCAAAATGCTAAGGCAGGCAGAGAGTATCTCTCCTGCTCCTTCTTCTCATGGTGCTATTTGTCCACAAAAGCTTGGGGGGAAAAGCAGTCAGTCAATGACAACAACAAAAAAGCTATCCCATGACTCAAAATTTGTTCCTATGGTAAGAAAAGATAACTTCAAAACCAAGAGAAATGTCTTCTGGTACTACTTGTCATCGCAATACACTTGGCAACTTTTACATATAACTTTTTCCCTCACTGTTTTTTGTCCTTAAGCTGAATTTGTATACTTTTAATACCATAAGACTGATGATATTGATATTTTAGCAGAATAATCATGTATGATAAAATAGTCTGATGCTTAGAATGATATCCATTAATGATCAGTCTTCACGGTGGAGTGCACTACTACTTCTATTTGGATCAGCCCTTTCCAACAGCTTCCAAAGCAGAAAAAATAAGCAAAGGGCTCTGAAGCAGAAGGATTCACGTCCTCAAAAGGAGACTGTAGAGATATAAAACAGGGTGAAATGTGAGAGAGGAAGAGTAATCCTATTTCTAAGTATTTTTTTACCTGCATGATACATCTTTCTCCCTTCGAGCCTTTCTTTTCTATTGTTCTTTTAGTCTCTCCAGTGCAGGGTTGTACAATTTGTTATGCCCAGTCATAGCGGTGTCTGCAGTATATCTGCATAGCGTTTCTGATTTGGAGTTTATGAACTCTAGACAAAATGCTGCTGCTCTTTTTTTTTTGGCTGACATGATGCAGGATGGCCACAAAGGGTTGTTCTCATTTGGCTGGCACAGAGCAGTGGGACACAACAGTGTCTCCCCACCTTTTTCTTTTATTAACCATAGACTATCAAGGAGCTCTAGAGCCTCTTGTATGGACCGCTGTGGTGCAGGGTGGTCTGGTGTGAGGCTCATCCTATTCCCGTGCATGAGGTTATGTCCTAATGGAGAGTCTGCCCTGCTGCGTGGTAGCCAGCTAATGAGAGCTGGCTACTAAGAGCCCCTCTGTTGCAAGCTGTAGCACAATATGCTGGGCAATTACAGACTGGTGGTGGTGTCCAGAGGGCAGTGCTGGAATTACTGGTTGTGGGGATGGCTAGCAGAATATGTGCTGAATGCAACCCCCCTAAAATCATATGTTCCCTCCTTGATCCTTCTGGAAATTTAATCATGCATGTTAGTATCTTCCTAAATTCATTTGTGTTCCTAAGCCTGCGGGTAGGTCTTTTCTTCCAAATGAAGAAGGATGCGTCCAGATGGGGCCAGATCCCTAGCTAGTGTATATGCACCCTGAAAATGATAGATGCGAAAAATGGCTCTGTCTATGCTAGAATACATTCTTGGTTTAAAACTGTATGCCATTTGTCATTTAAATGAGTTAAAACATGCCCTGTTTGTGCCTGTCATAGTGGTCTGTGACACCCATCATTGTAGTCTGTAATTCTGCTATCGCTTTCATCTGTTTTAATCATTTCTAGCTGTTTCTGAATTTTTGATCCTCTTTTTGACAATTCTAAGTAATTTATTTTCTTCTGATGCTTTAATTAGCAGTTTTGCTTCCCAGTGAAGTGCTTGCTGACTGAATCGTGCAATCCTTCACTTGACAGAAAGGGTGTAAACAAAGAGAATTTTGACTAACAGTCAAAACTACAGCATTTCCACTACAGCATAAAAACTAACTTCAAAGATGAGAGAAAAAAAAATACAATAGGAGCTTCAAATATCATTAGTGCTGTAGTCGGATCCTGTATCAATAAAAGCGGTTCTGTCATTCACTGTGGAAAGATAACATTTACCCTTACATGCTTATTAAATAATCTTTTGGAAGCCAGGGCTATGTACTCTCGTATCTGATAGAGTGTATTGCAGGTTGGAAATGCTGCCGCAGCATTCACATGGCACACTCTTCTAACTTGCAGCACTTAGTTCCATGATAATCGAGTCACAGAAGCTAAAATGACCAATTTAGAGTCTAGAATCAAGTCACGCTATTACCATACCCATTGCGTTAGCACTAGAGCTGAATGGTCATACTGTGCAGCATAGTAACATCTAATAAAAACCTTCAGCCGCCATGAGTTTTTCACATTACTGTATTTTCAATAGTGTTATTTTATATGATGTTTAACAATTCAAAAGCATTGAACAAAGCAAATGTTTTCAGGGAGCTTAGTCTTTTTGGGCTTTGGTGTTTTTTTAACATGTGTGCAGATATTTGGTTGCTCTCTCCATCTCTGGAATTTAATTTTTTTTTAGAGTTCTGTGCGAATGACTTTCAACATATGTCTGGGATAAGCAGATTTATGGTCTAGATGATCAAATCTCATTGTGAAACAGCTATTTTTAGGATTATGGATGTAGTTTTTTAGAGATGTATAAGTGAGATGCGCAAACAGAAAATTATGAAAAGTAGAATATTTATTATGTAGGATTTTACGTGTAAAATTTTTTAATAAGTGAATTCCATGCAAATAGCTTCATTTGATTTAATGAGAAAATACCAGCAGCAGATTAGATGAGGGAAAAAGATGTTTTAAAGAAACATGTTTATAGGCTGAGTTCAGTTATGTTTCTAAATGTGAAAGATCACTAAGATAAGTGCATTGAGATTAACTGAGTTATTCACATGGGTTTGAAGTTAAGCTCATATTTAAGTTTCTTGCTGAACTGGAGGAATAAAAAGAAACTTTTCAATAAGAAATTAAAGTAGAGGGGGTTTACTTATTTATTTACACATAAGAGGCTTAGTTAGTCCAAAGCATTAGAAATAAACTTAGAGCAGTATATGAAAATATCAAGTTACGGACCCAATGCAAAGAAATACGATTATATCAAAGTTTAGATCACCTTTGCTTACGTATTAAATAAAAAGAATTATACCTTTTTAAAAAACGGTTAAGATGCTTTTGGAGTTTGATAATATCTTTTTACGCTTTTCTTTGAACCAGCTCGAGAGAGCATGATGAACAAGTTTGTTTTCCAGTGACGACAGATTAATTTCCAATTAAAAGCTGTTATTAAAAAAAAAAAAAAAAGAGAGAGAGAAAATTACTGCATCTTTCTGTGTAGCATTTGTGGTCAAATAATCCATCTGATAGCTTACTATATGGATTTGAAATTAATTGAAAATAATTACAAAACCTGCCCACGTATTTTCATTATATAGACTGAGAACAATTAAAAAGCTAAACAAAGAGCATACAAGATAAAAAATATTTAATTAATTTCAATCGTTATAAATTGCATGAATACAGAAAAGAAAATGTGTTTTGTTTACCTCGCAAGATGCTTTGAATAGCTCAATAATAATGAACGCATTTGTTTGCCAGAAATGCGGGATGGCTGTCCAGTTATGTCTTGTTAACATCTGCATATTAAACATCTGAGCCCAATTAATGTGTTAGGGAGCTCTGCCTCTTGGATGCATCATAACCTTGCATTTTCATTCCTTGCAGAAGGGAATCCGTATACCTGGTGGGTTGGAAAAGCCAATGAGAAGCACTACTATTGGGGCGGATCAGGACCTGGCATTCAAAAATGTGCCTGCGGCATCGAACGCAACTGTACTGATCCCAAGTACTACTGCAACTGTGATGCTGATTATAAGCAATGGTGAGTGGTTTACAAGAAGGCAGGGTGAGAATGACCAGAATCTCTTAACTTTTACAACACTGCCATTATTTTGAATGTCTTTTGTTTATGGATTTCGTTTCTTACCAAAGAATAGGCAAAAATATTATATTTGTGATCCCTCCTGCAAAGTATCTGCCCATCTCTTCATTTCCATTTTATTCATGGTGTCTGTGACTGTCAAATATAAGGAGTATGTTTATGTTTTCAAGTCAACTGAGCTATAGAAAAGAATGCTAAAATTGCAAAGTCAAGTCCTAATAGGAAAGACCAGCATTTTGGCTGCCGCTGCAACTTTGTCTCCATCATATTCAGTTATATTACAATACAGTATTTAATTTTATCTTGGCAACTTCATTTTTTTCCCAGAATTTCTCCTTTTTGGAGTACTATTGCTGCATTTGCCTGTAGAATGTGAGAGATATGAGTCGACATCACTCATCTAGTGACACCAACCCTCATTATCCATCTTTCATGAGAAAAATGTGTTAAGAGCTAGGCTTAAAGAGTATTATGGAATGAGGCTCTGTATTTCAGAGGAAGCTATTGCACTTTGTATGAGATAATTAAATATTCATTGGCCTGTTGGTTGAGAATACAAACCTATAGCCCGTTTGGGACGACACAGAGAACTGCTTCTAGTTTCTTCTCTAATAAATAGTTATTGATTCATCCCAGGTGGAACAATTTTAACAGAGGGACTGAGGAAGTCCTACCCCAGAGTATTTTACAGCCTGGTAACAGGGGCAGTCTGCTGTGAGGTAATTGATGTGGATTTAAATCCCTTCAGGCAGAAAAGAGAATTAAACCTGCATCTCTGATATTCCCCATAAACACTCTAACAATGAACTTACTGCATAAAGCTCATCATTATTTTCTGTGAGACCCTCTCTGTGCTCTTAGAATGCTTCGTTTGTAAGCTTTAACCATTTGTGTCTCTTTTGTCATGACAGGCAGCGTCATATTTTACATGGTATGCAATGTTCAGTGACCAGTTGGAACCATACTTTTATGAACACTTTTCCCATTAATAGCAACCAGTTGGTAATTGAATCAATACTGGCTTATAAACTATTTTGTGTTAATTGAGAAATTCATACAGCTATTAATGAATATAGAGCCACAGAACTCTAATGGTATGTCAGGTATTTAAAAAAAAAGGAGTAGGGAGAATCACAGAAACACAGAATGACAGAATAGTTGAGGTTAGAAGGGACCTCAGAGTTCATCTAGTCCAAACCCCCTGCTAAAGCAGGGCCACCTAGAAACAGTTGCCCAGGACCATGTCTAGATGGCTTTTGAATATCTCCAAGGATGGAGATGCTGCAGCTTCCCTGGGCAGCCTGTGCCAGTGCTCGGCCACCCTCATAGTAAAAAAGTGTTTCCTGATGTTCAGAGAGAGCTGCCTGTGTTTCAGTTTGTGCCCATTGCCTCTGGTCCTGGTGCTGGGCACCACTGAAAAGAGCCTGGCTCCATCCTCTTTGCACCCTCCCTTGAGGTATTTATACACATTGATGAGATCCTCCTTGAGCCTTCTCTTCTCCAGGTTGAACAGTCACAGCTCTCCCAGCTTCTCTTCATAGGAGAGATGCTCCAGTCCCTTAATCATCTTAGTGGGTTTTCATTGGATTCTCTTCAGTAATTCCATCTCTCTCTTGTACTGGGGAGCCCAGAGCTGGACACTAATCCAGGGTGGCCTCAACAGTGCTGAGCATTGGGGAAGGATCACCTCCCTTGACCTGCTGGCAATACTTTGCATAAGGCAGCCCAGGATACCAGTAGCCTTCTTTGCGGCAAGGGTACATTGGTGGCTCATGTTCAACTTGGCATCCATCAGGACCCTCAGGGCCTTCTCTGCCAAGTTGCTTCCCAGCTGGGTGGCCCCCAGCATATACTGGTGCATGGGGTTGTTTTTGCCCAGGTGCAAGACTTTATACTTTTCCCTGTTGAACTTCATGATGTTTCTGTGAGCCTGTTTCTCCAGCTTGTCAAGGTCCCTCTGGAAGGCAGCATGACCCCCAGCCACTCCTCCCAGTTTGGTGTCATCTGCAAGAATGAAGTATGAAAAATACAAAATGAGACTAATAAAGTAAATCCTCCAGGCCCTGCAAAAACAATAGTTTAGGATGTGGGAAATCAGACATTGCCACCCTAGGCTTTGACATTGTTAGGATAGTATGCTGTTAGCTATGATATGGGGTGAACTATAGAAAACCACAGAGAGAGAGGAGTCAATATTAGAGACAGGGGAATCAGACATGGTGCCAAACTTCAGAGCTAGAATTATATAGAAAGTGAAGAATATAAAGTCAGAGGACCCTGACTCAAACATAGGCACTAGAGCAGTGTGGCAGGAGGGAAGTAGGTTTGGTTCTGTGACAAAATGGTAACAATAAAAGGAAGATATTGTAATAATAATTACGGTAATGGCAGAATTAGGAGCACTTACAGTTTTCATTGCTTGAGGCACTGGATGCATATCCATCAATAATAGTCTCTGTAACATATGTTGACTGTTTTCTTTTACGCTGAGGGAAATGCATGGGGGAAGTAGCATTGACTGTTGATCTCTTCTTGTGGCTTTTCTAAGAGTCACAGATGATGATTTAATAAGCAGCATTCGCTCAATAATTGTTTTCTGTAACCTCTATGCCCCCTATATACACTGAGATTATATGGAATCTACTAATAAATAGATTAATATAATTATTAGGTTTTTTAAAATTAAAATAAGATTACTATCATAATGGATATACAAGTGTTTACTCAGAACTTCAAACAAAAAGACATTTATACAGTATTTCTCTGGATATGTATGAGGGTTTTTTTCAGGAAAACTACTGTGTATTACAGGAAAATTTATGAAAAATAGTTATACAACTGGATATTATATTTTAATCTGTGGTGTATGTAAATCACAAGAAGGAATGAAAGCCTCATTGTAGCCTTTAAGGACATTTTGTTCAAGATTCATTTTTGCAGTTTAGTTTTGGCAGAATCTAGCCCATACCTTTCGGGTTTTGGAATTATTTTGAGGAGTCCTAGTCAGTTTTCTCTAGCCACGTTGATTGATACCTAAAAAGCAAGTGAGCTGCAGAGGTGAGGAGACCTCACTGATTTCAGTTATCAGGGGCAGAATGTTAACCAGGGCCTCCAGCATGTCCATGCTCAACTCTGGTGACAGCAAAACAGCTCCTGGTTTGGGCCGCGGTACCTGCAACAGCACTGCTGGAGAATTGCCATGAGTGGGTAGATCCAGCCAGTGGTAGCAATGGGAGCCCAGAAAGGGCAGAGGCCACTGAGTGGCTCAGAGAGGCATCTGGTCACTGTGAAAGCATGCATCCGTCACATCCATTCAAACCTTGCTTTTGCATCTACAACTTTACATATTCCAACTACTGCATAAACTGGAACGTATCTTTTCACCCTTAGAGGTAAAATAGTATCAGCTTAGGAATACTGGGAGCATTACTTTGGTACAGAGGGGAGCACGATGCAAGGATCCCCAAGCAAGGATTGACTGAGATAAGCCCAGAACTAAAATCTGGGCATCATGACATAGACCCTAGTAAGCCTTTGTAATAAAGTTACATTCCGGCACAGTGTGGAAATTACTATTAGTACAGGGATCTTTGCAGCTTACGATGAGCAGATGGGTCTCAGCTCACAGACCGACAAAGCGGCTTTGCCACAGTTGTCACCCTAGCTCATCAGCACAACTTATTTCAGAAGAACTTACAGTCCCCTAAAACAGAAGGGCTGAGCAAATGCCAATCTGGGGCTGAGAGGCCAAGTGGGACTTTTGCAGTAATTGTATATCTTGGCCATAGCTGGGAGCACTGCGTTTGGTCGTGGAATGCCCACAATTATTTTTTGCTCCTGCCCAGCCAATGTGAAAAAAGTTTATATTTGATTTTTTTTTGGGGGGAGAGGGCAGGGAGACACAGTAGGGAGAAGGCAATAGCTAGAGCAACAACTATATTAGAAAAGGTAAAGAAGTAAAATGGGAAAAGAAGTCTGCTGAGTGGAAATTATGGGAATGAAAGGTGAAGAAGAAGAGAGAGATTCAGTGCAAAGATTCCCATTTTGAAGTGCAGAGTACTCTTCTTAAAAGAGATTGGGGAGCCACTGAAGACTGGGTCAGGCTGAATCAGAATGATGTAGTGTAAGTAGAATATTATCCGCAATTTTTGTTGTAGAAGTTAGAAATTGTGTTAGAAATGAAGAAAGGAATTGCAGTTTGATGAATGATCTCGTAGCGAAGGCAGAAGAATGCTCCCCTGGAGAACCGGATTCTAACTCTGCCTCTGGAACCACATTCCTGCGTGGTGCTTACCAAGTTTCATAAGCCATTTCTTCACAGAGCAGTCATTAGTTTGATCCTAATTTTGTGGGTACCTAACTGAAAACCCAGAGGTCCAGTTTGTGGAAATACCGAACATTCACAGCTGCAACTGGAATAAGTGATCACTCTCTCTGAATGTATCTAATGCTGTCCTCCAAAACAAAAAACAAAACAAAATGCTTGTAGGCATCTCAGATTGAGCACTAAAAATGTATGTCTGCTTTTAACCTTAATATCTTTCAGCCTTAACATCCAATCTGTAGAATGGAGATGATGCCAGATACTCACCTCATGGAGGTATTGCAAAGATAGGGAGATTTATGAAGCAATCATCTACTGTAGTAATGAGCACTATAGAAAATCCAGTGAGAAAATGCAGTCTTTATAGAAAGAGTTGAAATGCACATTAAGTATATAAATGGGGTCCACATATTGAAGCATGAGAGTAAATTAGGATAGTGAGCAGTGTTTTACTAAATGAGTGTTGTCTGCCTCCTGTACTGAATAATGCTAGAGCCCTCTGGAAAAAATAATAATCAGTGACCAGTCAAGGACTGTATCATGGTGATAGGCACAGGGGACAAATTAAAGCTCTTTAAGCAGCCTGAAATATTTGGTTTTACTATATTTTGTGTTT